GGCAGCGAGTACGCTAACTTTAGCGAAACCATTCCTTCACCTCCTAGTTATTCCTCCTTCGAACGAATGGTCTCCTATTACCTTAAGGACATCAGCTAGTTGTCTGAGCTTCTTGTTGCTTTCCTCTTGTATTCACCTCGGTCTTATTTCACTACTGGTGCTTTTTTTTCTTCACTTGTTGTTTCATCAAATAATCTCTTATTTATGGCCTTATGGTCGTGTTCTTCTTTTGGAATCTCTCGGGTTTTTTTTGTTGTTCATTGTTTTCTATTAATATGTCCATCTCGGACTGTCATAATTAAATAAATAAGATAGATCCGGTAGCTATTCCTTAGTGTGTTCAAAGTGATCACTTTAAGGCTGCTGTTTTCGGAGTTTCACGTTCTTCCTTTCTCCTCCTTTTGCAAGCAAACAATACCCAAATGGGGACAACAACCTCTTGGCGTTTTCAATCAGAACGGAACGAGCAGAACATGCAAAAACAATACTGAACGGGGGTGGTTTTTGGATTCTGCCGAAATCAATGCAAAACTTCCGATCCAGACGTTTTTCGAGAAGTTCAAGAAAAAGGCCAAAAAAAGCATCCGTTCATTTCAACACTCGGTCAATCAGTTGAAGTTGAATGAATTCCGCTTTTTCTCATCCAAAATTGATCGTGGAAAGAGAAATTTCCTAGTTTGCCGCTCTGCTTTTTTGCCAAATCGTGGCTTCATTGGAATAGATGTTGTTGAGAAAAGCTTAAGTTAATGAACAATGAATCAAGGTAAATATTGTCGAGTTAATTTTGGATGCTGGCGTCACATGAAAAAAGCTGAATTCATTCAACTTCAACTAAGATTGACCGAGTGTTGAAATTGAAGTGATACTTTCCAAGAAACACCCACACCTTACTTTGAACGCACGGCGCATCCCAAGGGAAGAGTCAACATGGAACGGAATTCTTGGATTATTTGATTTTGTCGGCTTCATTCACCCGACCCTTTTTCCTTTGATATGAAGTCTCTTATGGTCCGATTAAGAGTACAACATACGGCCATTTTAGCGCGGTTGTCCAAGCGACTAACCCTAGTGCAAGTGCGAACTTTGAAGACAGCCATCGTAACGGAGGGGTTTTCGAATTTGTCATCAAATTGTCATTGTGAAGAAGATGTAATGACATTGGCAGCCGATTTCAAGCCTCATCAATCAAGAAGGATGATTTGTTGGTTTAGCGGGCCGCTAGTCTGAAACGTGACCGCTCTGACCTTCCTCAGTCCCAGTGCGCCAAGTGTTACCGTACCATTTGTCCCGTTTCGAGAGATGCCAGAGCTTGCCTGTTTGAAAATTCTGCTTAAGCTGAAGTTTGAATTCATCTGAACTACCCTGATTTTGTCTTTCTCAAAACTACAGCAGAAGATTCCTACCATAATGACGCAGATATTTGAGTTGTTCACAAGATCACTAAATAGGTATTTTACCTTCTGAAATCAAGCCTGCCTTAACATCTTTTAAGCCAGAGCACTCCGTGCAACCGCTCCATCTGCACCGAAGTTCAGCTGTGGATAGGTGACTGGCATGGGTCCAGTGGCTTCCTGGCTCAAACGCTAAGCAGCTATTAATGAAGGTTCACATCTGGTTCCCATACCATTCTTCCACCATCCGCACTTTTAAACAATCACCTCTTCCAGTTCCTGCTTCAGACAATTCGGCTTATCCTTCATTATCCCTTCCCATAGACACATGGCGCCACATTGTCCTAGAAACGTGTTCATTTTCGCATGAGTTTTGCGTTTCCCTGTTGTTTTGACCTGAACGCGTTGTAGATGCGCCCTCTGACAACCAAACCCTCTACTGGAATTTGCTTCGCACTGATGATTTATTTATTTGCTCTTCTGGCTCTTTTACATGCATGGGGAAGCTTTAGGTCATTTCGAATAATCTTATCAGCACCTACCGTATCACGAGCGCGGTATTCGCCTTCTTCCGTCTGTTCCTGTCAATCCCTTAGTTCCTTCCTTTTGCCCATTCATCATCGTTGTGCTGGTTAACATGAGGTTCCCGCCCTGATGTTGCCAAGTTCGTGGGAATACAAATTGCTATTGTCCTTGAGCCGATGTGAGCGAGCAGTTTGAATCCTTGCGCAACATCGTGTTAGAAAAACCCCCGCACTCGACCTGGGAGAATGGCGGTGGTCTCTTTTCCTTCGTGTGCGTTTCCGCTCCAGGTCATCGCTTTCTGAGAGCCCTTTTCCTTGAAGTCAGCAGATTCCTGCCTTAGTATAGAGTTGTCCTGCACTCGTTCTCCGAAAATCTATGGTCAGGTGTCAAAATGATATCGTTACTACAATCCTCGACCGAAGGCCCACTCTAAGATTTCCTTAATGAACCTTTTGAGTTTTGGGGAGCTCTCAGGTCCATATCTCTCCTCTTCTTTCTTTCGTCAGCCAAGTGCAAAGGACCAATACGCAACTAATTCAATAGAAAGCTTCTGAAGTTCTGATGAGGTCAAAGTGATGTTGACATTCATCTAGGTATTTAACCGTAATTTCGTTTTAAAACCAGAATATCTGTCATATGTGAAAGCAGCAATTCAAATAACTAGCAGTGCTCCCTTTCTGGGCGAATGAAGGAAACACGGTATCGCTACGGGTTGAGGGTAATCTGTGATTATTATACACTCGTTAGACGGTCAGCGGAAAATGTGAGTTCGAGCCCCGCCTGGTATCTGACTTTTGCCCGTAACTCAGCATCCTTGTGAGCATTTGAAGAGGTAAAGGAAAGTATCAGTAAGCCAAAGAAAACAACCAACTCTTTGGTGAATCAAAGCCGACTTTTATCCGAGGATTGTAATCTTATCCCTTCTCTCAGTGCAAAAAGCTCGATCAGATGCAAAACTCTTTTATGAGCCAAGGCCTCTGAGGGGGATATAAGTGGAAATTAAGACGGGATTGCGGGAAGACTGATGTTTCTCACTATGGCCGATTCACCAGCAGTCCCATAAGCATCCTGTGGAGGTAATCACCTATGTGAGACAGTTTCTGGGATTTCTCTCAGGTATTCACCCGTGTGGAAGTGCTGCCCTCTTGAGATTTAGTTCTTTTTCGCGCTTTGTATTCCTCGTCCTGAACATTGTCCCCATCTTTCAACGGAGAGAACTTTCGTGGAGGCTCTCGCATAAGAGCGATAAGAGCTTGAAAGCTCATCCCTTTTCAGATTTCGTTACCTTATGAGGCAAAGGGTGAAGAGTGCTCCAGCTGTGTGCATGTGTCCTTCACAGCTCCTCAGCCAAAAGCATTCAGTGAACAAGGCGCGACTGCTGCGCGTAATTATCGCTCTATTTAGTGAGATTCCTTCGTTTACCAGCCTTTGAAGTCCATGGACAAAAGGTGTGAAAAATGGAGGACAATGAGCAATTACGGTATGTCCGGGATACTGCTGAATGTGAAAGTCCTACTGGAAGCACTTGATTAGGTAAATCAGTTCCAAAGGATATAGTATTTTCTTTCCGATACTCAGTCCGCCCTTTGGGTCCTTAGTCCGACTCCTCAATATGTCCTGCTTGCGGGACGCTTCCTTCCAATGCTCCGAAGTTTTCAGCAGGTTTTTTTAGAACACGCGGCGTCCTCTTGCCTAGAGGTTGACGGCTCTCTGTCTTCCTTTCGTACTTCCGTCAGGACAATGCAGCTAAAAGGCTTCTTGCCAGATCAGTTGTTACCATTTCACGAACTTTGTGCTGTCAATTTTGGACCGGTCTTTCGAATTTCAAGTCATACCTCTGTCGTGCTCTCTACAATGATAAATATTCAATTATAAGTCAAAACTATAGCAAATAATCTAGAACGAGCTAAAAAAGCGCGTTCCAAACAGTTTGAAGCTTTTATTCAACTACAATACAGTGGAAAGGTGAGCAGATAGCCGGAATTCAACAAGAATGAACTTAACGCTCTGAATTTGCTTTGCTTCCAACTGGGCTTGATTAGAGCCCTCATCATCTGTGGAATGGACTTCGCAGGAGTTCCGGGTTACTCAACTCCAAATTTCCTGAACTGCATGGAACTGCTCATTCGTGTTGGTGACATTCTTTCCTTTGACTCATGCTCCAAGTCATCCCGAAGATGCCGGAGTTGAGGTGGAGCTCTTACTCGGTCATTTTGTCATCCTGATGCTGGCCTTGGGTTCTGGAACCTCGATTTCACATACTTCTGTGTTTGCCTAGGGTCGTCTCTACAGATTTGAAATCAGTTCTTCCAGGCATACCATATTTCTATAGTCGCAATATTCGGTACCTAAGCCAAAGAAAATCAAGAAATAACTTTATAAAAAATTCCGATTTTTTTGGCTTTTCCAGGTTTTTTTTTCAGCAGCTGTATTTCGTTCCATGGCTCTCAGTTGATGTTCTGCTTTCTAATTGGTGGATAATTTCACCTACTTATTAATCACACCTTTCCTTGCAATTCCTTCTCGGGGTCAAACTTGGGCGCGACTGTGGGAGGACGGATGTTTCTCATTGTAGTTGATTCAACGGTACTCATGGGCATGAATACTCTCCCTCAAGCAAGCTACGCCCATCCGAGAGCCCGCCTTCCACCGTTAAGTGGTCTCTTTTGTTAATTACCTGTTTACCCATAGTTCCTGGTATTTTTGTAGGATCCTCACCAAAGCGGATGTTCTGATCCTTCACTCAAAATTTGGCTCTTACTCACGTTCTCTGTTTCTTGTCGTTGGCTCTTCGCCATTATTTATCCTTAATTCACACTGTTGGGGAAGAGGTGGTATGGGTGGAGGGGGAACATTAGGAACATCGTACCCCTCGCCAATTTATGGAACTGTTAAGTGTTGGAAGTGAACCTCCTTCCCTTGGAAAACCCAGCGGAATTCACCGTTTCTTGAAAGCCTATTCCTTTCGGGCCAGTAACCGTTTGAGATCATCTCACCAGCATTTCTTTAACGTATTTCGATCAATTTACTACTGTATGCTCAGTATTTTACCCCATATTTCTATGGCGAATATTTCGGTTTCAGATGAAAACAACCAAGCGTGCTCGCTTTTTCTGGCGCCAAGTTAAGAGCAGGCTTCTTGACTTTCAACAGAGAAAAGGAAAAATGAAGTTAGCGCTACCGTCGACAGTCTCCTTGGATGAGCCGATCCTGGAGGAAGTCCTTAAAAAGCTCGACCTGAATGAGCGCATTCAGCTGCGAAATGTGAGTGTTGAAGGAACTTGAGGTCACTTGACTATCTATTCTCATCAGTGGCCTTTTCAGCTTTCCGCTCAAGTGTCTGGTCTCGTTGATCGAATGCCGTTAACACTTCCTTTCGTATTCCTTCGGTCAAATGGTTGCGGCGACATCGAGCTTCATTGCGATCGAATGGACGTACTGCTAGGTGAGCACTGTATGAGCATCCCAGAAAGTTTGAAAGGAAGAATAGAGCGACTTCTAAGGGAGAACGTCCATGTTCTTTCATGTGACTGGAGGGTAGTAAACTAGAAAATTAAATAGTGGCGAAGGAGGCGCAACTCCCTATCCGCTGGATACCTGGTGCAACGAATGGGCTAAGGTTGTTGATGATAAGACGAAAGCGAGCAGGGCAAGATTCAAATTTATCAAGCGGATGTGGGCGATGTGCCATGCGTTCTACTTCCATCCAGAGCGTAATGGCATTTGGAGGCGATTCAACCGTCTTGGTGACTTATCAGAGTGTCAAAGTCTGCACTGTCTTTCCGGAGCCGTTTATTCCGTTTTTTCACCAAGTAACCAACTCCAAATGGACGATGGGTTTGAACGACCCGGTCGGAATTGGATCCCAGAATGAGCATTCGTACGGCGCTGGCCTCCACCTCCGCCACAAAATTGCAGGCAACCCGTCAGAAATGGCAACTAATAACCGCAAATCGGTAAAAAGCGATTGCGTAGATTTTCGATTAAAACGCTGAATTGCTAAATTACTTGAAGGTTACGTCCTCCCTGATCACTCGGCTTTCAATGTTTGTGACGATGCTATCGTTTTCTCCTACAGCAACGCCCGCACCATCTTAAGATCATTTGGTCAGTTGAATATTTCATTTTTCAAGCTATTTCCTCTTCAATTTCCACTGCAATGTTTTCGATGAAATGCTGTTCAGTGTCTCGAATCACCGGAATTACCCATCTCTGGTTGGATTCTGAATGGAATGGCTATATTGTGCAGATCATTGTTGAATACTATCAGTCAATCAACGTTGGAAACAGAAGAATGAGGTAGTTGTGAACTCTAAATCTTGTTTTCTGAGCGATCTGCTTTCACAGAGTATCCCTTAGACGGTCAGGGGAACGGGCAGAGCTTGTAACTGTGGGAATGATGTTTCTTACAAGTGGACAGTGACATCCACCACCTCATTCCAGAAATCACGCATGCCTATCTCGCGGCTTATCTCACGACGTGCTTGGGCTTCTTGTGGCACATTGGTGCCCTGAAGGGTCAAGCGTGACAGAAGCTTGCCAGTGTTTAGATCAAATTCCAATCGGTAGGGTTGTGGATGAGGTGCTATTGAGATAGGATGACTAGGTACCGCATTATTACTAGGCTACGCCCTGCTAATGATGCATTTGCTGATTCTATAGTTACCTGTTTCCGAGTCCAAAAGGGTTCACGTCGGAGCCGATGGCTCACAGCTCTGGCGAAAACACGGCACGTATGCACGCTCACCCAAAGCGTGCATACGTGCCGTGTTTTCTGTAATGACGTTTTTTTTGCGGCATAAGGCACCCTCACATCTTGCCACCACGGCTCACTGCTCATATGGCCAGTCCCGCACAGGCCTTTTGATAAACCTGGATATCAGGCATGTTCTCAGATAAATATAATGTTTTTCAGGCTTTACATGGAGCAGCTTACCGTGGTTGGCAGTATAAGAAGTAGCGACATTGACTGGGTGAGTTCATGCCGCTTTTCTTCTTTGCTTTCCATCAGTTTTAGTCTCTTTTTAGATCTCATCGCTAATCCTGCTATCCCGTCGTAGCCTGAAAAATTTACGTTTCCGACACTGTCGGCTACACTCCCAACCACAGACTGTCCAGTTCTGGTCAGCCATCTCGCAGTGCCAGCACTTGGAGGGATTGCAGTACGAGCCTTGCCGTCTGGACAAATGGAGCCGACCGCATTTGATTGACGCTTTGGATTACAAGTCACTGAAGTAGGTCTAGAATTTGACGACCATACTATAGGAATATGAACTACAGAGATTAGCATTTCTCAACTTGACGTTTTCAGGTCCCTGATCCTGACCGGGATCCATGGTCTTCAACCGGCGGATCTCATTCGAATCGCTGGTGGCTCGCAGCTTGTGGAATTGGCTGTCGTGGGGGAATTGATCAAGCCCTCCATTTACGCTCAGTCGGAGGCAGTGAAAATGCTGGCAACCATCGCAAATCTGCTCATTCAAGTTTGTGGTCTGCTTTTGCCCTCAATGTACTCAATAAAATGGTGTTTTTTCCAGGTCGATTCAACATTTTCCATCGACGACATCAATGAGCGTGCCGCAATGCTGAAAATGATGAGAGCGATGCCTGTGAAGGGCATTTTGGAAGTGATCCACGTTAGCCGAGGGACCGTCTCAGACACCACAAAACTTATCAGTTATTGGATGCGACTTGCTAGGTAATCACAGAGTTTCTTAGGGTGCACATTTAACCCGTTCACATCAAGGTTCAACTCCTGACCCTGTCCTCAGTGGGGAATTGTTTTCTGCTATCTCTTAGGACAATACTGGACGCTAACGGAATTTGAACAGAAGCACGAGGTGGCACGCCAAGGCTGAGGCGGCTCGGGTCTTGCGCGCTATTCTGAGTCCGAACCTAAGGGAAGGAAGTATCACTATTCCGGAGTTAATTGGCAGCCTGAGCTTTCCTACATGGTCTCGTCGTGAAAGCGTTTGCAGACAAATAGGCTACAACGATCATAAAAATCAAAGAGTCTGAAAACTTCTGACGAACAGAGTTTGGATCCTTTAGAGGGAATAGGACTGTAGGACAAATAGGCTAGTTATCACATTATTGGAATGTGTAAGGTGGCAGAAGACAAGAAAGCTCAAAAAGAAGCAGCAGAAAGTTGAGTGGTTAAAGTCACTGCCATGGTTGTCCATAGATCTTATTTCGGTGAGAGCCGCGCACGAGCAGCGTTCAGCGTCGCGCTGCCCCCCCCCCCTTCCTTCCTTTCCCAACGACGTTAACGCAATCTTGTCGTCCAAAGTTCCTGGCTTTTTCCCCTCAGGAATCCTCTTGAGAACTGCTCTTTCAGCTGAACGAAATATGATTTGAATGAGAGAGAGAGAGAGAAAGAGCGAGAAGGCCGCTAATTCGATTCGATTTCCAGAGATTCTGTACGCGAGGTTGAAATTGAAACTGGAGGAGTGTTCGCAGGAACGAGGTGACGCTGCGGTTGGCAGGTTGCTGCGCAAAAGCTCGTGATGTGACCGCAGTGTTTGGACCAGGTGTGGTGTTCAGCTGGAAATGGATGCTGGCCGACTGACAGTGCTTGACAAGCGCTCGTGGTTCTATGAGCACGAGCACCGGGAATGACTGTCGCAAACACTCATACTGGTAGGTTGCTTATGAGTGGTGTCATCCAACACAGCTGGGTGGGGGAGGCATGTCACAGTTGTTCGGTTCGAATCGCTAACTGAACTGCACAGGAAGGGACAAAATGATCTGTGCAGCTCCATGTGTTAAATTTTTTCACATTCTATCCGAATATTGTCTCATGAGCTGCTTCATGTGAGAAATATTGAATTTTTGCAAAGTTTATATTTGGCTGAACATATGACTTTGTCCCCTGTGGAAGTCCTCCTCATTCGGTTATTGTTGGACTTCTGGGCACTTCTACCATTTCAAACCCAGCGTTACACATTCCTCTGTTTTCAGGTGAAGGTTCCGAGATACTCGTGGGGAACTTATGAAAAAAATCTGGAGGCTTTCTTCGGGAATCGTAAAAAAAGTCCTATCGAAAATTCTAACGGTCAAGATCTCATAGTGCAACGCAGACTTCCATCAACGCAATTGTACATGTGTCTTGCTCTTTTTTTATTTGTTTGCATGATTGTTCTGTTCAAGGTCGGGTTTGGAGTTCAGATGCAGAAGGGTCGCTTCTTGAGAATCTTTTGGCATTTCTTTTTGGACATGCTTATCATTTCAATATGTTCGAAGAGGGCTAATCAAAACCGTGCAACAAAAAAATCACGTCCGAACTCTAAATGAGACCTTTTTTATTCATATACGGGTAGACACTTATATGTGCCACTATTCTCTCTTTTTTTTATAAAGTTCACATAAACATTTGTGTTTATCACTGTTCTGATTAATTTTTTTGGTAACGGAGTACAATCCATACCTATCCATAAGTATTTCGGAAACAACTCGGATTGTACTGTGTCATGACGCGCAGTCCACACCCCAAATATGTGGAGGACGTGGCCGCGTGCATCATGCTATGCACCTGTCCTCCCTCCTTGTTCATTCAGTCAAGCTTCAAACTGGACAAAGGCATGATCCAACTGTTCCAAAACCAAAATATCTCAGGCCGCCATGTTCAAATGAAGTAGGTAGCCACGCCCTACCCGTCTACGTGGTATTAAGGGTAACCATCGGAAGGTGGTCATCGAATGTATAGCCAGTCGTTCATTTTGAATGGTAATGTCTGATAAGCAGCGAATTCTTTTTCATTATACATATGTAATCATTAGATAGTCTAGAAGACAGTCAGCTGTGAGCTCCCCACAAATACCGTAGGGATTGATAAGAACCTTGTTGGTAAAGAGGTCAAGAACTAACTGCAAGCTGGGACGCGTGACTTTGTGTGTGAGTTTGGACATGAAGTTTGTGGGCGGCGAAATAGTTGCGTGGGCGGCATGTTCGTTGGGATGTGTTCATTCTTCGCGGCTCGAGCCACTGAATCGCTACAATGAGCAACTGCACTGCGAACCGCCGCAATCCAACTGTAGTCGTTGAACGCAGCTATAAATTGAATCCAATTCAGGAAAAAAAACTCCGATCGATTTCTAGTTGGACCTGGATAAAGAAAATGATCTTGTGACCCGAAGTGAATTTCATATATGTCTTTGTCGTGACACGCGGAGGATAAAAGCGCTGTCATGTGAGCCACATCGTATCCCTTGGTGGAGCTATGTTGTTTGCAGGACATCATTCCCCAGAGGAACTGCCAAAACCTCTCCTTAGATCAGATTTTTTTGGGGCTGGCCTGAAGTTTCCTGCCAGTCTGATATAGTCTCCGACGTGTTGTTTGTGCCATGCTGTACATAAGTGACATCGTCACATTTAGTCGGGGCGGCGTCAGTAGTAGCCGGAGGGGGGGGGGTAGGTGTCATGGAATGAGCTCGCAACTCAGGATTAAAACCAGTGGTATAAAGTGCCGGAGAGGGGCTCGTTACATGCCATCTGGCAACGCCCCGACTGATTGCGACGATATCAGCTGTATAAATATTGGCATTAAATTTCTACTGTTGTGATGGGAAAGAGAGATGAAAGGCTGCGTTTATACTTTGCGGCAGCGTAGCGTAGCGTGACGCTGGTGACGCTTGGAACGCTAGGATATGCATCCTCTCCCCAGCACTGCCGCTGGCGTACGCTGGAAGCGCTACGCTACGTTGCCGCAAAGTATAAACGCAGCCAAACAAGGGGGCGGGGTCACCCAACAGCAGGTTCACACAACCGGACGCAATCCTTACCTGCTCGCTTTACTGAATTTTTTGAATGGTATTGGATTCCTCTTCTGTTGGATTGTCTTCTATTTTGTGAAATCTGAGAGTGGAAAGAAGTTGCGTCCAGACTACTGCGCAGTAGCAGTAGAGTTCCCTGCTCAGAAGGTGTATAGCCTGTTTTGCTGCTATCCTCATTTGGAGTAATGTACCCATCTCTTAGAGGTTAATGATTTGCCACCGTTTCTATTAGTAAAGGCGAGCTCACATCTAGTCGGAAAGACCGGGTATGGCAATCACCAACCGAAGGATTAGCTTTGTCAGGATCTCACTTGTACAGCCCTTGAGACTAAGTAGGTGGCATGTGAATGGCATAGAATGGTTTACTCGTAAGATATTTCAGCTTGAGACAAGTGTCATCTTGTTCAGTGTTTGACAGCGACACGACCACAATTGTGCCAAAATGAGGATATCTCTCCGAAAGCACAGCCATCGCCACGTTTGCTTGAAGTACGCAGCCACGCCTACCTTATATCAGTGATTTCGAGTTCAAAATCCATTCCCTAGGGTCTGGGGTTATACTTAGGTTTTCATCAGAGCATCACCTGTATCACCTGTGTTCCCGTTGATCATCATCAGTTCCTCGAGCAGGCGCCAATAACGTCTCCATTCGTCCCTGCGACGTGCAAGAGTTGCCCAATGGACTCTCTCTGGCTTCCGAGGACACGATGAAACGTCCATACCATGTCGTTCAGAGCCTTTCACAGAAAGAAGTCTGTACCATCGCAAAGCGTGGTCGTCCCAGGTGCGTTCGCATTGAATCCGTGGAATCCAGCGTAATTCGCTCTGGTCCACGCCGGTTCGTCCCTCGCGAAAACGCATGACGTGCCCGCCCCCACCTGATCTTCGAAACCTTGCAAAACCGCGGCGCGCGATCTCTGATCTTCGAATGCTGGCCGGAGTGAACGGCTCCGAAATCCCTCTCACTTCCCACTTGGGGTGTAGCAACGGGGGAGAACTTCCGCGAGCATAAGCTCCTTGTGCCGATTGGCCAGAGCACCGATTGAATACATGACGCCAGAAATTCTCGCATGCTTTGCTAGAGATCCAATCTGCACGGCATAAAGCCAAGGCAGGAAGGACTGGCGGAATCGGAGAGAAAAGATGGAACATCTTATGGAAGACTTGTGGTACTTATATTAGCAAGCGAGCTGTGGTGTGTGCTTGGCGGTATTCTTACACTACTCAGGTTGTTTTAGAGGCTCCCAACCGCTCGCTTCCTCACTGACTCGGCTACTGTTGTGCTCTACATCATATTGTTTACGAACCAGGCAGCCAAACACTAGACTACCACGCATTCACGAGATGGTACCGTTCCGATTGAAAGTAACCTCAGGGTGCATACTGAAACGCAAATCCGTCTTTCTCATCGAACATCGCCTTGTAGAATTCTGCCGAGATCGTATTTTTCCACCACGCCCAGTCGAACATCACGCCAGCATTCGTTCCGCTTGCTTCAATGTTTGGTGCTTATCAAAACGATGTCGTCAGCAAAGCGGAGATGGTAAGTATGGCCCGAACCCGTCGATCTTCACTCCCATGTCTTCCCATGCCAGTTTCACGGCATGACTTTCGTGATGAGAGGCGCTGAAAAGCTGGACCGAGAGTTGCGTCGCTCTATAGGACCCTTCTCTCCACACCATCGACTGTATGATCTGTTGCTTGTAGAATCGTGAGATCTTGCCCGTGAGGTTGCTGTAGAAGCTCACAGAAAGATCCTGATCGTACCTGAGTAGGAAACTCACTCTGGTTGCCCAGTAGCTTTCGATTAACCGGCTTACCTGTGTCAACCGGAGTCGACTTTCCTGAAGTCGATCGAAACGTGAGACACTAGCGGCATCAACTCTCACGATACTTCGATGATGCTTCGGTGGATGTGATCATCCCGTGCTGTAATCCTCCTTCGGAACCCGCTGCTTGCTCACACATAGCTGGCCCTTCGTCTCACTGTTCTGGCCGTCCTTGTCCTAGCGAGATCTCGTGTGATAGAAGTTTTGTAGAGCATACAGACAGCACAGGCAAATTGGCGATAATCTGGCCAAATGCCCTACAGACCGTCGCGTTCTGTGTACCAGCAACACCCAGTCATGCTGCGGTCTTCCCACGCAGGTGGGTGCCTTGCATTCCGACAGGTAAGCACGTGAAGGTAAGCGACGGCCAAGGCGTTTGAACAACAGTAGCGGACAGATTCTTTCATGTTATGTTCGGCACCTTCCAGCTACCTTCACGACGGCTGCCATCCGAGGTCGAGACTCGTAGGTCCCTCCCTGTCAGAACGCGGGCACCCGTACGCATTCTTACCCGACGCTGATGAAGGGCGGTCATCTTGGTTCCTTACAGTTGACCGAACTCGCGGCGGTCGTTGCGCTACGTTCTTCCCAGCCTCTGCGGCTACCACCAGTACTGGCTGCTCTTCCCTCTTTGAGGTCTTCCCTTTATCGCTTACTGTGCTGCATAGCTTCGCAGCTCAGACGCAGCTGTAGATACCTGCCTTGCGCGCCTCCACGCTGGCGCAATCAGCTTGGAGAGTTACCAGAGATAGACGGCAGTCTTGTACTCTTGAACTCTCTGACTTTTGGCGCAGTCATGAAGGTGTGCCACGAGCCGTTCGTATTCCTCGTCGATGTTGTTGAATGACGGAATCCTCCCAGAGCCCCAGT